GATGAATGCAATCAAGTAGTAATTGTTCAGTCTTGCACACTTACTCATAGACAGGGTTGACACTTTATTTCCTGGTTCAAAAAGAAAAACCAACAATCATTTAATTTTAGCATACAGACATGAAATTGTTTTCCTATAAAAAAAATAAAATAAAAAAAACATGAGCTTAGAAAAGGTAGAAAAATAACATGCGCTTAGAAAACTTTTACCAGATTGGTACTCTCCTCTGCAACTGATAGCTAAAAACAAAACAAAATAGTTCAATTAAATAATCCATCTCAAAAAATACCTGCTTCACAATAAAGTATACCATAACTAAATTAAGAATGACTGCTTTTTGACTCACATTCCTGGTTGCGGGCACACTTGTTTTCTTCTGTGTAAGAGAAACAGATATTCAGATATGAAAATCAAGAAATTACATTTATATTTTACAATTCTGAAAAGGTTTGTGACACTTATTACCATGAAGTGTCTTGTGAGAATCGCTCACACAGGTCAGTTCAATATCTGCCGGCCATTTTAAGCACATGGACCCTTGACTGTAGTCAATCTGACATGAAGATGTCGATTGATCAGACGTACAAATTGGGGCACGTCCCTCCATCTTCCTGAAGCAAGTGAACTTTTCTGCAGTCTGCTTCATTACAACAGAGAAGTTGCATTTTTCTACAAAACAAAACAGATTTTGAGAGTAAGTAAGGTTTTAAAATCAAATAAAAAAAGTGCAATTTAAAAGCAACAAGTTATTTCAAAAAAGTTGTAGGACAGTCACACTATTTTAAGTGTTGGCCATTTCATAATTCTTAATTCACTGCATTGCTTACTCTTTATTACCCACAATGCACTCTGTCTCTTTACATTATGGTAATGTATCTGTCTCTAATACATTATTTACCATAATGTAATGCAGAGATGTCTTTTTAAGTGGAAAACAATCAGCTACTTGTTAAACTGGCTTATGTCAGAGTCAGAAAATTGGGTCCCATCAAGTGTCTTTGAGTACCATGTAATAACATTGAAATTAATCACTTGATAGAGTGCACTTAATGTGTAGGCCTACATACATGTTTTTACATTGTACATGTATTTAAAAAAAAATGTGATTACAGATGTAATTATTTTTTGTAATTACATGTAACACAATATTTAATTACACTGTTGACCATTCCCTTACACAACCTTAAACACAACACCAAATCTGTACCTACCTTTACCCATATCCCACCTCAATAGCAGCAAAAGTGTTTTGCAATACAGCATGAACACAATAACAACTTTTTTAATCCAAGTACATAGTAGTTAAATACACCTGATACTGTATATAAAGTACATAATTAAAGGCACATAATATAAAGTGTGACTGAAAATTGTGAGCTGGCGGTGGAAAACTCCCTACTATGAGTACAGTGGGAGTGGAAGAACGCTCAGGGTAGTTTGAGTGGGTTTTTTAACACATTGCTTTGAGGTTTTAGCACCGATGCACCGATGGTGTGAGGACCCTCTTGGAATTGCTCTGTTTATTATTATTAGATTCTTGATTTCTTTGTAAAAAGTGACACCTTTACACTACAAGCAAACAAAACACATATAGACCAATAGAAATAAAAATGTAGGAGAATGAAAAATGAATTTACTGTTTTGAAGTCCATTACAGCAAAGGCAAAAAAACAGCATCTGGAAACATATAAAACACACATTAAAATACTGTATATATACCACTCGAATCATTGTGACATTACTTAATATAATCAGTCTATGCTTGCTTAACATCCTTAGAGAATTGTCATGTTGACAGATGACATTAACAACAGATAGTGGTAATGTATTATTTCTGCAAGTTGGGACCACCACATTTGGCCACTGACCACATTGAATTTGGTTTCATGTTCCAACTCCACTTGTATTTAGAACCTTGTATTCTGTATCTGTGAAATTAATTAATGAGGCTTTTGGATAGAAATACTTTTTTTGCTGAATTAAAATAAATGGTTACACTTTATTTTAAGATGTCTGTGTTACAGTGTAATTATACATTTAAGTACTGAGTAATACTCATTAACAACTACATGTATCTACTATAGGGTGAGGTTTAGAAATAGTGTTTGGTTTAGGGTCAGTTGCATGTAATTATGTACAATTTATAGTTATTACAGTAACTACATGTAACGTGGAAGAAGGACACTATCAAATCAAATGTTACCAAATGAACTTTTATTCAGAAAAATTGCATTCAATTGATCAAAAGTGACAGTTAAGACTTTTTTTTAGTTAAGTTAATAGACTTAGTCAGTTAAGAGACTTATTTCAAAAACATAAAAAAAAATAAAAACTTACACACTCCAAAGTTTTGAAAGTTATATAGGGAAAATTAGTTGGTGGGAATGAAGCTTCTTATAATTTGTTCAAAAATAAATACAAACATTTTTCACACCTTATATATTTAAAATGGTACATGATTATTTTACTTGCATGGATTAATTATTATATTTTATATTTGAATTTGAATAATTATACATTTGAACATCTTTGTCTGGGACACGGGTAAAACAATAAAAAAATATACATACAAAATAAATAATGAAGGCATGATAAAAAAAAAAGCTTCCAAAGAATTGTATTTGTTATCTTCATATAAAAAAAGTGAAATATTTTAAAGTTAAAGAAGATAAGAAACACTGGCTACCTTCAGGGTTTTCCCTTGGCAAGGTTTATCATCTATCAGCCCTTACAATCACAAACCACCCACCTACAGAAAAGCAAGTACTTTCTGTTCTCCTACCTACCCATTATAGCTCCGTACCAAACTGAAGTACAGCAGAATCACGGTGGGCACTGAAAACTGTACAGCATCACCATCAATGAAAGTCATTAGTCACCTCTTCCCCAGTATCATCTGGATGAAGTCTCAGTCACATCTGAAGAAGAGCAACTAGTTTTTTTGCCACAGTATTTTCTTTTCTTTAAATGCCTATTCCCTCAACAAGTTCACAAAAAGAAAGATCTAACACAACGCCATTCCAAATAAGATCAAGGCCACAAACCACAAAAATGAGGCTGTACATCAAGATGGAGGTTTAATCAGAATTACCGAAAGCATCCGGGAAATTTGCTCATTGTGTGCAGTTATTCAACAGGACTGCTTTGGCTTAAAGTCCACTGACATTACCGAATTACTCAGTATACCACGAAGACAACATTTTAAGCAATGGAATGTTTAACATCATTCAGCAGTGAAAGGAACATTCTGTACATTTTCTTGGTAACCATATTGTGCAACATATGACACAAATGTGAATGGAGAAAGATATGAAGCATACCAAGTTTGCCTATTTCCTATACTCATCTTTTATTTATACTTTTTACTTGTCTAATGACGATTCATTCCTACAAATCTATGCTGTATAGATAAATATGCTATCAAAACAACACCCAATCAGACTCAAATTCTTTCCGCTAGACTGGTAACACGCTGTAACCACAGTCCATCTAGATTTAAAATCAGCTCGAATTCTGAATATCAAATGGACTGTGTATTGGGTAACACCCAAATCACTTCTACAGCAGTGGAATGGGTCAAGAAAGAATCTTCACATTTACCGGGTCCAGTGCTCATTGTTTTCTAGAAATTATTTAACAGTAAATGAAAGAGGAAATAGTGATTTTTCAATGAGCTTATCGGCTATCTTTCAGTGAAAGAGGATTTAGCTATGATGATTTTTCTCATTGCGGTCTAAATCTGTATGACTTTTTCTTTTGTTGTACAAAACAAAATATATTTTGAAGAATATTTCAGTATTTTTTTGTCGAGAAAAATTCAATGGGGTCCCAGTGTGGTTAACAACCCAAAGTTCTTAAAAATAGGTCCCCGTTTCCCGTAAGAGGTGAAACTTTTAAACTTAAGGGACTTCTATAATTGTTTGGACGTAAGGACATTCATGTCCTTGGCTAAGACCCAGATTCTTTTTAGGAAGAAAAACGAATAATTTAAGTGTCTGAATGCATTCAACACAGTTTATGTTGCAAGATGTTTTATCTTATCCAAACCACAGCTACTTATTCTTAACTGACTTTATGGCCAAAACATGAAACACTATTTAATTGTCTAACTAAAAGATAATAGCCAGATACAAAGCATAACTATACCACATTTATTCAAACATAAACCACAGCATTTGGATTAATCAATCGTTTACACCATCTCTGACTCAACACCAGTCAATGCTTAGATTTTGGGTAAGAGAATAGACTGTAAAAATGCATATGCACATAATTTCCATACATCGTGTCAAGATGTAATCAAAGCTTTCATCGCAACATGAAACTACCATATTATGATTCAAACTAAGATTAAGCCTACAAGATGACAACTCAACCCCTTTGGGAGTTAATAAATAAGTGATAATTAACAGAGCAGGCAAAGAAAGACAAGATAAGCACAATCACTCACCACTACAAAGGTGCAAGGAGCCATCGTGAAAATGAGTTTGCAAACCCGACTTGGAAAGCATGTGAAAACCTGCCTTACTTCCTTAAATGATACAATGCTTTGACGTGTACACGTTGATGGTGGTAACTACATTAAAAATCTACTTTTGCACAGTACAAACCACTGATGACTCACAGGATATAAACCAAGTACAACAGCACAATCAACAAGTAAATGTTTTCTTTTCTTTTTTTTACTTTTCTTCTCACTCAACTATGTCCTTATGGTCTATGCATGTTCTTATTTGGAATTCTTGGGAAATTCCCAACAAAAGGTCACTCTTTAAAATATATTTAAGGTGTAACTTCCTCCAAATGTATTGCAATACTTATGTGCACGGTTAGTTTTATTAGTAAAGCTCAAAGTTATACAATATGTGCTAGGGTACCCAATGTATAAGTTGAGCCTGTATTTAAAATTATATAATCATTTTAAATCATAGCATGTACAAAGAGAATCTCCAAAGCTGTGTGCCTTTTCGTTGCTCTTGAGGCCACTTCCTGGATAGCGATAGCACTGATCATAAGCAAATGCCTAAATGTGACCTGCAGATAAAGACAGGAAATACATTTTACTCAGCGTCCTTCATTCCCTAAGCTGTGAAACATATTAACAAGTGCATCTGTTAAAGGGGCATTATGCAGAAATCCCGTTTTTGTCAAACAGCGACCCCTAGAGTTACTGTGGAGTACTTGAATTTAACGTTACTGTCGTAAATACCACTCACAGTATACAATAGTAGGCTACATTGTGTTTAATTTGTCGTTTAATGAGATATAATATATGTTGTTAGTGGTGAGAATTTTCACGTGATTAAATACATAGATCCGACAATTTTAATGGTCCAGAGGCAGAACTTTTGCCAAGTGTGTCAGAGGTTCTGGGTTCTAATCGGTAGGCTACTAGTAGTATAGTTTATTTTCCTCATCAAAACCGATTGTTTATTAGTGGTTGTATTTCAAGCAGGGATATGTTTTTTGTGCATTAGATTTTGTGATTTCACCATCACAAAATATAGAGAGTCTCTCAGTCCCCGCAACGGATTCAGGCGCGCGTCACAACAGAGCACTGTAACTTATCTGCACCACTGATCGCAGAGGCAACGAGCACTTTGGTCACTTGATTTAAAAAATAACACATTTCAGATCGCCTCTTATTTAACAAACGAACGAAATGAGTGCTCTACTAGAGTTACCTGGAGATGTTTTATTTGTTTGTAATGGTACATCCGTGCCGCGAGAAGTTTCAATGGGGACATAACACACCTGCAAATTATGCCTATGCTCGTGTCCGACTCCTCGCTCGGTCAGTCTGCCGTTTCCTCTTTCTCTGTTCCTCCGACAATGCTTTCCTAGCTTTCTGCATCTTATATGCCGGCTCAGCCATGACGATAGTGTGACAAACTCCATCCATCTATACCTTGTTCCTGTGTGTATGTGTGAGTTGCCGTAAAGGAATATGTTACATCGCGAGAGCTGATATCACGCGATACTTCCTGACGCGGCCCGCCGCACCGAAGTTGCAAGTGAGATTTTTGCGCTCACAGGCACCAGGGGGGGTCGAGACGCCCACCATTCAACCCGAAAGAAGTTATATAACCATTTCAATAACTCTGAAGCTGTTCAGTTAAGCTAAAAAAGCTGCATAGTGTCCCTTTAACTGAAGTTAACTGATTGATTCATTTCACCATGTTACAGGATGGAAATAATTAATGTATACTTCCACTCAAAGGTTTGTTTTAAAATGCATTTTATTCCTGTGATGGCAAAGCTAAAGTTTCAACAGTCTTCAGTTTCACATGATCCTTTAGAAATCATTCTAATATGCTGATTTTGCGCTCAGGTAACATTTCTTATTGTTATCAATCTTAAAAACGGTTGTCCGGCTTAATATTTTTGTGGAAAACCGTGATAAATAAAAATTGTAGTATTTTTAATGAATAGAAAATTGAAAAGAGCAGCATGTATTTGAAAAAAATATATAACATTATAAATGGATGTACTATCATTTTGATGCATCCTTGCTGAATAAAAGTAATATATATATATTTTGTTAAATGTTACTGACCCTATTGAAACCGTGTATGTGACATTTAAGAAGCTACATTTACGTGTCATAATACCACATCCTGGTCTCACCTTTCCAGTAAGAAATTGGCAGAAGTAAAGGACCATCCACAGATACACCCTCCACCAGCTCTACTAAACGCAGGATGTCTTCAGGGTCATCTACAAACATTTCTTCTGGCTCATCAACACTCATCTCTAAGCCACAAGGGCCCATTGAAACATCCCTATCTGCACATATAACACAAATAAGGACATTAATAAATGGTTCTTAGACATTCATCTTGAAGTCACAAACAGTAGTGACCGTTATTCAAAGGTCAAGTGGTCCTTATTAGTATATATTTTTGTGTCGTATTTTCCATTACATTTTTAAACATCCTTATATCAAGATCAATTATTTGAGAAGCAAAAATCCATCAGAAACTAGAGGAACTTTAATTGTATTGCTCCATTACTTTAAGATTTAAATCTCGTTTGGGATAAAGAGGAGGATAAAAAAAACCTGCAAAAAAAAAAAACCCTGTGGCTGACTGAATAAAGAGGTCACTGTGGTGACCTGACCTGACATTGTGATATAAGGTCTGAAAATGGTGGGAAGAGGGTGTGTTTATGAGTCCAGGACAAGGGGGATTTCAAGCTGACTAAGTAAAAAGGGAAGTAAAATAATGCCAAATGTTTTTGAAACAAAAAAGCTTGTTGAATTGCACTAATCGAAAAAAATAAATAATGCATTGGATTAACCATGCTTGCATTTTAATGGGCTGAAATTCAACATGGTTGAAGCCTATATTTAAACTAAATATTTCAATTCAAAACATTTCACACACATTTTCCTTGTTAAAAATTAAACAATCCATATTTACCTTTCAGATTTCACTTTCAAAATATTCATTCTCATTAAAAATTCAACCTATAGGCTATAATATTCGACAGGCAATTTTCGGTCCATTTTATTTCGCTTTATTTGGTCTTTGTCAACACGTGCTTGCACCACCTGCTGGTGAGCACACTAACAGCAGATGGAGATTATGAATCAGTACTCAACTGCTATTCCTGCAGTTCCCAGATGTGAAATGTTGAATTTGAACCACTGAATTTGTGGAAGCGATATTTTAAAGCGAAATGAAATGGGCCGTAATTTGACTGTCGGATATTATAAGTTGTATTTTTAAACAGAATTAATATTTTGGAAGTGAAATCTGAAATGTGAATATGGATTGTTGAATTTTTAAAAAATGAAAATGTGTGTAAAATGTATTGAATTTAAATATTCACAGCTTAAATATACGACCATGTTGAATTTCAGCCAAATGCAGGCCCTAAAAATACAAAGCATTAAAATGCAAGCACGGTTAATGCAATGGATATTTTTTCAAGTAGTGCAATTCAAGAAGCTTTTTTGTTTGAAAAAACATTTGGCATTATTTTCCATAGTTTCACGTCTGTTTTTTTGCAAGAGGCATACGGCAGTGGTTACTGTGGTAGACCGTTACTGTGCTCCTGTTGAGGTAAGGTGACATCTAGATTCTTATTATATTTTATGCTCCTGTGTAAATAACTAATTTTCATGGTTTGTGAAATATCAAGTTAATATTGATACATGCAACATGTATTGTACAAAAGAAGCATATTTAGGACATATTTTATGGTTTCACAATTTGGCTTCTCACATCAGACATACAAAAATGGCTCCGCAGTCAAACCACTCCCAAATTGTTTTGTCCAGCCTCTAAAACAAACTAACTCTAAGTCCATGTGATTCTGCTATCAATGGGGAAATTACATCATTCTCATTCTTTACCTTTGACATTTGTACATTCAGTGGTGCCAGTGGTTCGCTTCTGGTCTAAGAGGAATTTCATTGGTGGAAGCTCATCTTCGCTGTCCTCCATGTCCAGATCAGCTCCATCTGTGATGTACATCTCTCTGTGTGTCCCTCTATCTAAACACAGGCAGGACTCACATTCAAAACCAGAGTGTGTGTAAAACATATGTCTAGTTATGTAAAATATTCAAATAAACAAAGGAATAATAATAAAGTTAACAATTTACAGTATAGTTGTGTACATTATCACTATTTACATGCACAAACAATCATCATTACTTTTACAGCAGTTATTATTATTGTTTTTTTAAATGTGTAGGTAAGAAAACAGGAAGCTTAGTAGACAGTCGACCACAACAGATGCTGAATCTTTTTGCTCTGCACCATCCTCTTCCACAGCTTTGTTGTTCTTTTGGACTGACCGTTTTTTTCCTTGAGCCGCATGACCAAGGGCTTTGTGTTCAGATGCAGCCGGTGACTGTTGCTTATGTGCTTGAGCAGGTTTATGGCATGAAGGACAGAAAAACTATAGAACACCATCTTTTGATCACGTAAGCCATCAGCTCGAATGTCAAACTTCCTGCCCTGTAGTGCAACCAAGAAGACAACTCATTCTTAAACTGCAAAACAGACGTACTGTAGAACATTGTGAATAAAATGTGGTTCCTCGGAAGGATGTTCTTATGTCACTCACAAGTGATTGTTGAATTTGTAAACCGTACCAATGCAATGATCACCTGAAACGTAATGGAATGAATGTCTGACCATGGCATATCATATAGAAACTGTTGTTTTCCATTCAGCATCTGGAGAGTAAAAACAAGACACACATCTGTAAAGGGGGACGTATATGTATGCTTTGAGGAATCCTTAATCAACCCTACAGAAAAGACTGGATTAGACTCACATGAATTTCTATTCTGTTCTAGGTCATTTTATACTGGTTGGTGCTGGTTTTATAGAAAACGTAACATTTATGGATAGAATATGATTAGTCTGTCCAGTTCCATACGGGTGGCATGAATGATGTATCCAGTGTTGGGGAAAGTTAAATTAAAGCGTCAGTCAATCAAAGCTGCTGTAGGTAACTTTTGAAAAAATGTATTTGCTAAAACTGTCGAATATGAGACAGAATATGAGACAGATAATCTGTGTAAAAATCAAGCTCCTCTGGCACCTCCCAGTGGTCCTATTGCCATTTGCAAGAAATACACGCTCCCGGTCAGAAACAACCAATCAGAGCCGAGAGGAGTGTCTTAGCAGTGTCAATCACGCTCGTGTACGCGCTGATCACACCCCTCTCTTGCACAGCGCGAGCCGTCGTTCAAACTCAAGATTGCCGGCGTGCTGCAGCTGTGCTTATGACGGAGAAACAACCTAAACTGCCAATTCTCGAGTGACACCTGCTCATAAAACAAAGAGGTAAAAGGAAAAAGACTGATGACGATAAACAAGCGAAAAAGAAAGAATTACACAGAGCCCATTGATTCGGTGTCAAAACTCTAGCCGCATAACATGTAGATAAAATGTCACGCACTCTGCTAAGCAACAATTGAAACCTGCTAATTCACTGGCTTGTCATGTTGCTGAAATAATGTACTAGCACACTTTATCTAGCATTATATATCGCTAGAATAATTACTTACATACTGTAACGTTAGTTACCGTTATATTAACGTTATCTTACTAGCTATTTATAACTTATACACTCACCGGCCACTTTATTAGGTACCCCATGCTAGTAACGGGTTGGACCCCCTTTTGCCTTCAGAACTGCCTCAATTCTTCGTGGCATAGATTCAACAAGGTGCTGGAAGCATTCCTCAGGGAGTTTGGTCCATATTGACATGATGGCATCACACAGTTGCCGCAGATTTGTCGGCTGCACATCCATGATGCGAATCTCCCGTTCCACCACATCCCAAAGATGCTCTATTGGGTTGAGATCTGGTGACTGTGGAGGCCATTTTAGTACAGTGAACTCATTGTCATGTTCAAGAAACCAATTTGAAATGATTAGAGCTTTGTGACATGGTGGAAGTAGCCATCAGAGGATGGGTACATGGTGGCCATAAAGGGATGGACATGGTCAGAAACAATGCTCAGGTAGGCCGTGGCATTTAAACGATGCCCAATTGGCACTAAGGGGCCTAAAGTGTGCCAGGAAAACATCCCCCACACCATTACACCACCACCACCAGCCTGCACAGTGGTAACAAGGCATGATGGTTCCATGTTCTCATTCTGTTTACGCCAAATTCTGACTGTAACATCTGAATGTCTCAACAGAAATCGAGACTCATCAGACCAGGCAACATTTTTCCAGTCTTCAACTGTTCAATTTTGGTGAGCTCTTGCAAATTGTAGCCTCTTTTTCCTATTTGTAGTGGAGATGAGTGGTACCCGGTGGAGTCTTCTGCTGTTGTAGCCCATCCGCCTCAAGGTTGTGCGTGTTGTGGCTTCACAAATGCTTTGCTGCATACCTCGGTTGTAACGAGTGGTTATTTCAGTCACTGTTGCCCTTCTATCAGCTCGAACCAGTCTGGCCATTCTCCTCTGACCTCTGGCATCAACAAGGCATTTCCGCTCACAGAACTGCCGCTCACTGGATGTTTTTTCTTTTTCGGACCATTCTCTGTAAACCCTAGAGATGGTTGTGCGTGAAAATCCCAGTAGATTAGCAGTTTCTGAAATACTCAGACCAGCCCTTCTGACACCAACAATCATGCCACGTTCAAAGTCACTCAAATCAACTTTCTTCCCCATACTGATGCTCGGTTTGAACTGCAGGAGATTGTCTTGACCATGTCTACATGCCTAAATGCACTGAGTTGCCGCCATGTGATTGGCTGCTTAGAAATTAAGTGTTAACGAGCAGTTGGACAGGTGTACCTAATAAAGTGGCCGGTGAGTGTAGAAAGAGTGCAACGTTATAAAGTTACATTAGGCTATTGCAAAATACATAATGATTTGAGGACCAAGTTTGTAGTCAAAGTATGGGCAGGCCATAGTCAATGTCAAGCATATTATTGACGTTTAGTCCCTATTAGTGAATGTGCCATATAACTTTTTATCCGCTGTTATCGGTGGCCCTGTTTACTAGCCTGCGCGTTCACGACAGGCTCCGCTGTGGAGGACGAGCTGTGGAGGGAGGGCTGTAGCGCAGCAGAGAGCAAGGGGGTGGGACCTGTAAGTTGTGCTTGTTCAAATTTTCAGGCTAAGTCAACGTTTTCTCAAAACTCCCTACTGCAGCTTTATTGGGAAAACAAAGTTTCTTACGTTAATTTAATTTAAAATAATGCATTCATTTACAGTTACTTGAAAAAAGTAATCGATTATGTAACTCGCGTTACTTGTAATGCAATACCTTCAACACTGAATGTGACTTACCTCAGAGATCTGCAGTCCTCCAGAAGCCAAGCCTATGAGGATACAACCTTGTGCTTTATTCTTTTCCTGAGACAGCAGGGACAGAGATGAGGGGCAGAAATGGAAAGAAAGAGAGAGTGTGTCTGAAACTGACAGAAACAGAGAATCTTATCAGTGAAACATGATAAACATTGGTAAGACGGATGTTTGAATCAGGGTTGGGCAAAAGCTTTGCTTATCAAGATAATCTTCACAATTGAACCTCAATTGACCTCAACGTCACCACCATTTAGCTTCCAACGACTATTTGACTTTTTTTAGTTTGAGTTAAAATAGTTTGCAAGAACGCGATTATAAACACAGTGAGGTTGTAAAAGGAGACTTAATTGCGGTCCTGAGACAGCAGGGACAGAGATGAGGGGCAGAAATGGAAAGAAAGAGAGAGTGTGTCTGAAACTGACAGAAACAGAGAATCTTATCAGTGAAACATGATAAACATTGGTAAGACGGATGTTTGAATCAGGGTTGGGCAAAAGCTTTGCTTATCAAGATAATCTTCACAATTGAACCTCAATTGACCTCAACGTCACCACCATTTAGCTTCCAACGACTATTTGACTTTTTTTAGTTTGAGTTAAAATAGTTTGCAAGAACGCGATTATAAACACAGTGAGGTTGTAAAAGGAGACTTGTGAGTACAGTAGTTTATCTGTGTGATGTGATGACGTTTAAGCACCCACAAAATGTCTGTAGTGACATTTAGTGTAATAATTTTTAGAGTAGTGACATTTAGAGTATTGACAAAAGCATCCAATCCTTCAGTTCTGAATTTTGTTAATTAGTACTTATAAAGCACATATTAATTCCTTATTCTGCATGATCATATTCTACATCCCTTAATCCTACCCAATACTTAAATTTAACAACCACCTTACTAACTATTAATAAGCAGTAATTAGGAGTTTGTTGAGGCTAAAGTTGTAGTTAATAGTTATAGTGATAATTGGACCCTAATCTTTGTGACTAAACTAAGTTTTCTTCCACTTTGGTCAGTAAAAGTCTATTTATTAAATATTATGAAATTATTAAATATATTTAGAATATAATATAAAATATATTTTGTCAAACCAAAGATAAACTTTGCTTTTCTGTTTAAATGTATATGAATTCCTTCATATCTTTGAATTCAGATGAAATCGGTTTAATACTATTTCCTTAATTTCAATTCTGTTTTCTGTTTGCATACCTCAATTCAAGTTCAGGAATTACATTTGACTGAATACCAGAGTTGTAGTATCAAGTTTGAGTCCAAGACCATGTTTTCTATGACTAATCAAGTCCGAGTGCACTTGAAAATGTGGTCTTGGACTCATGACTCCAGTCTAGTCTAGTCTGGCCTGGCCTTGATTATTACAACACTTCTGAACAGTGGACTTGTGCTAAAAAAGTCACTAACTTTGAACATTCTATAGATGGTGATGGGCACATCACTCAAGGTCAATGCTTCTTGCATGAAATGTAAGGAAGCCTTGCTGGATGACATTCCCTTAAGCTCCATATGCAGGGTTGGGATGTGCTTCAGGATATAATCATTCCCACGCTTCTGTATGATCTGTCAGTGTCACAATAAAAACAGCATTAGATTTAACAACAGTTTGTGCAGAATAAGAACAAGTTTTTTTCAGCCCCCAAAATTTAAACCAGCAAATTGAAAAACCCTCACCCAAAAAGGGAAAAAGCCCAGTGGGCTGAAGTATGCAAAGTTTGGTTCTTCGTAGTCTCCCAGGTCAGCTTGCAGGGCGTATGCAGCCAGCTGAAAGTATAATCCTTCTTGCTCAAAGCACTCAGATCTCAAAACTCTCTCTTTAAGTTCAGCATAATACAGCTGACGGGCTTCATTGTTTCTTTGAGAATGAAACAAGCAGTTTAAAACAGACACTTAAAACAGTTTTACACAGTTAAACAGTGGTTAATGCATAGGTATCATAGAGATAGAGATAGTATTGTTCATTGTTTATTCATCTTTGCTCATAATACATTAACTGATGTTAATTGTAGAATAGAAATTAACATTAACCAAGATAAAAAAATGTATTGTAAAGTGAAACCAGTACTTCATGTACATGTATTTATGTATGCATGCATGTATTTATTATTCATTTATTTGGCGAGTGGCTGCTTAATTAGTGGGATATTAACCCTATAAAGCCTACTGCATGATATTTAATACGCAAATGTCTAAGGCTTCAAATTATCAACAGGATCAAAACTGAAAAACCTGTTAAACACAATCTACTACATACTTTCTGTCATCTAATTGATAGTTTGTACTTTTTTTAGCAAGTAAAGGACCTTTTAGTATAATTCCAAAAAAAAAAACTTCAGGTCATGGAATGTGCTTTTTTGCTGTAAAATCGATACTGATTTTTATAAGGTAAATGTGAGAATAACTTTTACGCAATATTTCAGGATGAACACTTACTGGCCAGTTTTTTAAATGCTTTAAAAACTTTTTTGTTCTTGGTTATGCAAACATTAAGGTTAAATGAAATTGAAGAAATTAAAGTTAATTCCATTTTATCATTCTGCAAACATATGGGAAAGTTACTTTTGAACATTCCTTGAACATTCTGAAACAATCTGTACAGTTTAAAACATCCAACTAAAACATTTCAGAAAAAAAAAACGTTCCATAACCGATGCATAAATACAATTTTTGTGCTAATGTTTTGAAAAATGTATTAACACAAAGTGACACAAAGAAAGGTGACATATCATTGGAAACAATATCCTAGAAGTAGAAGGGCAAAATGATGGATAAGGAAATCACATCAAGGCGGGAAAAAAAGTACTTACACAATTAGTTGAGCATTTTCTACAAAGTACTGCACTTTCAGAGAGAGAACAACTTCCTCCTTTGAAAGTAAATACATGAATGAATAAAAATCTTCATAAGGATGCATTTTACATCTCTAGTGTACGGTGGCCAAGTAGTGCACAACACTAAATTTAAAAAGTAAACATAAGTTCACAACAGCGAAATCAAGCCACAACACAACGGAAACAAGCCACAACACAACAAAATAAACCCACAACACAACGGGAATGCTCCCGACCACTAGAGGGCCCTCGGAGCATGGTAAAGTTAGTTCCCTTTCGAGAACGGTCACTTCGCATTGCGTAGCTAATACGCAGTGGGGAACTCTTTTCTTCGAGAAATATTGAGGCTTATAATTTAAAACGCAGTGCAGCTGCACAGCGAACAAAGCAGAGTGTCAAGCTCATTGGCTGTGCTGCGGCAACTGCACATCCTATGGCCAAGCGCCTCTGATGCGTGACCCAATCTAGTGACTTGGTGCTTAACATGTCAGAGCGCGCCTAAATGGGCGTGGCTTAAGCCTATAAAGAGTGCCCATTTTGGCGATCTACCAGATTTTCTCTCCTTAAGCGACACTTCACGTCTCTGACTCCTCTGAAGCCTTCGCCGTGGAAACAAGCTAGACAGCTAGAGCGAGCCCTTGCAAAGAGCAGACAGCGCCTTCAACTCACATCGAAGCCGTTCTCTTTTGTCCCTGCTCTCCTGTGGCCATCCGGCGAAAAACGCTATAATATCCTTTTTACTGCTACTGTTGTGTTCGACGCTGCGACACTCAGTTCTAAAAGAGAAATTTCAACGAGCGTTGTTACAAATCCCTCGCTCTTCATGCACCTCATGCAGATCACTTCTACACGAAGATGACGGGCACGGGATTGGTTTCTTAACGGTGGATCTGAAAGATGCTTACTTTCACATTCAAATAACGCCCAATCACAGGCCATTCTTGAGATTCGCCTTTGAGGGGCAGGTTTATCAATACACGGTCCTACCGTTCGATCGGTCCCTAGCACCTCGTACTTTCACGAAGTGCATGGACACAGCACTTTCTCCCCTGAGACAACAGGGAGTGCACGTGCTGATTTATCTTGACGATTGGCTCATTATGTCTCAGTCAAAGACCGAATTATTGACACACAGATCCATGCTACTCAGCCACTTGGAATGCCTGGGGCTCAGGATAAATTTTTCCAAAAGCAAACTGTTACCCAGCCAGAACGTAATCTTTCTGGGCACAGTTATCGACTCTACAATGATGAGAGTGCGGCTAACACCAGAGCGCACTCTCTCTATCCAACAGCTGATAACCTCCTTCAGGGTAGGTGCACGCACACCCCTCAGGAAGTTTTAGAGGCTTCTCGGTCTCATGGCCACTGCATCGTCAGTACTCCAGCTAGAATTACTGCATGTGCGCCCCCATCAGCACTGGCTAAAGCGCCGGATGCAAGCCCATGCGTGGCGGTCAAGACGCCTACACATTATGGTGAACCAGCGCTGCATCAGAGCTCTGGTTCCCTGGAAAGCCCAGAACTGGTACCTGGTACTGCGCTCTCTGAGAGCTGCTCATGTCCCGGGAATCGAATTTGGGTGCAGACTAGGGGTGTAAATCGGAGCCTACATGACGATTCGATACGATACCGATTTCTTAAGCCAACGATTCGATTATTTTCGATACTTCAGAATTCCCCGCGATACGATTCGATTCGATTCGATACGATTCAATAATCGATAATTTTACATGATATCTATTAAGTTTCAAATAAATCAACGAAAATGTTTATAATTGGCCTTTTATTGAGAATAGAGGAACAGTATTCTATTCACATAATGTGTATGTTGTGCTCAATGCCCTGCAAATAGAACAGCAAATATAACAGTTACTGCATACAGTTCTAAACTTGATACTATCGAATCCTGGTGCGTTTCCGTGCATCTTACGTCATCGCAAACGTGCACGACGCATGATAGAAAACAGAACGCGGGTCAATATATTGGGTTTTTAATTTTTTTATTTGGTGCTATTATGCACAGCTGAGTGAACAACACCTGTTTACTGTGTGTCGCATTTGGCTTTTTGCTGATTGCAAACGCAGGAGACAGTGGATTTCCATTAATTTGTTGCCCTGAGTCCACGTGCTATGTGTGTGCGAATACAGACTCACTCTCGCTCTTATCCAAGGTAAATTATCAACACTATCATACCTTACATGCGTTTTATTTAACTAAATACATCATGATCAGCTAAAAAGCATGCGCAGGTCACTTACTTCCTTAACAAGTGCGCACCCGAGTCCGTGATGCTTTCACATTCACGCGAGCCGCGGCACGGTTCGAGTGCAACCGAACTCAGCGCACCTCCTCCAGGCAGTCTCGGGTTTGGTACCCCAGTGCGCACCCGGGTCCGCATGACAGACAGCGTTTACATAATTAGCGATTTTTCATGCGAACCGTGCCCGTTCCGTTCCGAGTTGGTGTGAAAGCACCCTAGACTTTTCAAGTAAGCTGTTGAAGTAGCCTTTTGTACACGTTAGCGCCTGTTTGTTTACATTAGTAACTGCTAGCTTGGAATTCGCCAACTAAGTGACTGAGGGTGCATTCACACTGGCAGTTTAGTTCGGTGACTAACTAACGTTAGCCCAGCACATAACAACAATTGTTTGTACGCATATGAGCGGATGCTGAAAATAGACAGCCGGCAAAACAAACACATAATCGATACTCTTGCGGACGCATCGATGCATCAAATCGTCGGCTGTATAATCGATGCATCGATACGAATCGATTAATATTTACACTCCTAGTGCAGACATGCTATCTTGAGACAACAATCCCCCAGGCGAGTGGTCTCTCAACCCACAGACGGTTCGTCTGATATGGAGTGTATTCGGCAAGGCGGAGGTCGACCTCTTCGCTTGGAAAAACAACACTCATTGCGCAGCATTCTTTTCGAAGAACAGGGACGCGCTGCCCCAGACGCCCTCTATATGCGTTCCCGTCGGTCTCTATGATCCCTCAGGTCATCAGACGGATCAAGGAGAGCGGATGCTTAGTCCTCCTAGTAGCCCCCCTCTGGAAAACCCAGGCGTGGTTTCCAGAATTGGCGCAGATGATGGACATTGTTCCCTGGCCAGTGCCAATGAGAAAGGTTCTCCTCACACAGGAGAACGGGACGATTTGGCACCCTCGCCCCCAACGTATGGGCCCTCCATGTGTGGCCCCTAAACGCATATTCTGGGACCTCCCAGAAAAGGTCTTGAATAACATCACTGAGGCTAGAGCACCATCTACTAGGCGCCTCTATGCTCTGAAATGGTCAGTATTCACTGGCTGCTGCTCAGCCAGAAACCTCGAGCCGCAGTCATGCGAAGTGTCAGTGGTACTCTCCTTCTTGCTGCTATGGCTGCCACATACACTTTGAGCGTGGATGGGGAGCTCTAGGCAATCCCCATCCCCATGGATGCGGGTCGCTCCCCATCCACGCTCAAAGTGTATGTGGCAGCCATAGCAGCTTACCATGCTCCTGTGGCTGGCCAATCACTAGGGAGAAACTACCTCATCGTTTGTTTCCTCAAATGAGCCAGGAGGTTTGTCCCATCAGCACTAGAGCCCACTCTACGAGAGGTATGGCCTCTTCGTGGGCTTGGTACAGTGGTGTGCCAATTCATGGCATTTGTGCGGCGGCCGGTTGGTCCTCGCCGTCTACATTTGTTAGATTCTATAACCTGGAGAGACCTTGCCTGCAGGCCCGGGTCCTCTCAGTATGATAATTAGACCCGACGGTGTCCGGTCTTGTTATCAGTATAACATGTTATCAGTATAACATGTTACTGTCCATAAGCACAAGTTGTCCTAGGACTATTACTATAAGTGAGCCCCAGCCCCTTATTCATGAAACCCGACTCAGGGCCGGTTACTGTCACTTATATTGTTTTGTTTTTTTATGACTTGTTCTGTGAGCCTCGGGGTGCTTCCCTAGGCTCCAGTTGGATGCAGCCAGTTGCTAATGGTGCGGCGTTTTACATTGCGTCCCCACTGCGTATTAACTACGCAATACGAAGTGACCGTTCTCGAAAGGGAACGTACTCGGTTACTAACATAACCTCGGTTTCCTAAGAGTAAGGGAACGAGTATTAAGTAGCCTGCCTCACTATTGCAATCTGTCAGGATTTGTCGCTTCAGTCGATTTAAACCTGATAGATGGCCAAAATGGGCACTCTTTATAGGCTTAAGCCACGCCCATTTAGGCCACTTGATTGGGTCGCACATCAGAGGCGCTTGGCCATAGGATATGCAGTTGCCGCAGCACCGCCAATGGGCGAGCTAGACGCTCTACTGTGTTCACTTTGCAGCTGCACTGCGTTTTAAATTATTAGCTTCAATATTTCTCGAGGAAAAGAGTTCGCCACTGCGTATTAGCTACGCAATACTAGTTCCCTTACTCTCAGGGAATCGAGGTTACGTTAGTAACCGAGTACGTTTTCCTTGCCACTGTTCTATACACTCACCTAAAGGATTATTAGGAACACCATACTAATACCGTGTTTGACCCCCTTTCGCCTTCAGAACTGCCTCAATTCTACGTGGAATTGATTCAACAAGGTGCTGAAAGCATTCTTTAGAAATGTTGGCCCATATTGATAGGATAGCATCTTGCAGTTGATGGAGATTTGTGGAATGCACATCCAGGGAACGAAGCTCCCGTTCCACCACATCCCAAAGATGCTCTATTGGGTTGAGATCTGCTGACTGTGGGGGCCATTTTAGTACAGTGAACTCATTGTCATGTTCAAGAAACCAATCTGAAATGATTCGAGCTTTGTGACATGGTGCATTATCCTGCTGGAAGTAGCCATCAGAGGATGGGTACATGGTGGCCATAAAGGGATGGGCATGGTCAGAAACAATGCTCAGGTAGGCCGAGGCATTTAAACGATGCCCAATTGGCACTAAGGGGCCTAAAGTGTGCCAAGAAAACATCCCCCACACCATTACACCACCACCAGCAGCCTGCACAGTGGTAACAAGGCATGATGGATCCATGTTCTCATTCTGTTTACGCCAAATTCTGACTCTACCATCTGAATGTCTCAACAGAAATCGAGACTCATCAGACCAGGCATAATTTTTCCAGTCTTCAACTGTCCAATTTTGGTAAGCTCTTGCAAATTGTAGCCTCTTTTTCCTATTTGTAGTGCAGATGAGTGGTACCCGGTGGGGTCTTCTGCTGTTGTAGCCCATCCGCCTCAAGGTTGTGCGTGTTGTGGCTTCACAAATGCTTTGCTGCATACCTCGGTTGTAACGAGTGGTTATTTCAGTCAAAGTTGCTCTTCTATCAGCTTGAATCAGTCGGCCCATTCTCCTCTGACCTCTAGCATCAACAAGGCATTTTCGCCCACAGGACTGCCGCATGCTGGATGTTTTTCCCTTTTCACACCATTCTTTGTAAACCCTAGAAATGGTTGTGCGTGAAAATCCCAGTAACTGAGCAGATTGTGAAATACTCAGAACGGCCCGTCTGACAACCATGCCACGCTCAAAATTGCTTAAATCACCTTTCTTCTTGATTAGATAATTGCATTAATGAGAAATTTAACAGGTGTTCCTAATAATCCTTTAGGTGAGTGTAGAATCGCCAGTTTTACAAATATATCAATACCACGATTAGTTTTAACAATATGTAACCATTGTATATTGACATGAAATATTACTACAAAATCATCTACATGCATCATACCGAGAACAGATATGGTCTTTAGATAATAACTCCCTAATTTACCAGAATATTAACTCTAAAACAGTCATTATTACTCATCAATAGTGATGTCACCCAAACCAGAAAATTCCCAGCCACTCAAGAGCTGAATATTCTCTCCTTGGGTTTGTAATTATAGACCTAGTCATTTCAGTGTTTACTTAAACACTCAGTGGTGAATTTCAAAGAAATACAGCACTTTTAAAGAAATAGGTTAATTGGATGAATTAATTAATTTAATTTAACAAGGATGCATTAAATTGATCAAAAGTTACAGTAGAAGACTTTTACATTGTTACACAAGATTTCCATTTCAAATATATGATGTTGTTTTGAACTTCCTCTTCATCAAAGAATCCTAAAAAGAAATGTATGGCAGCTTCCACAAAAATAAAAATGTAACACCAAAACAGCTTATTAGACTAATTTCTGAAGGATCATATGACAATGAAGAATGCATTAAAGTATTTATTTGTGCTTGATTACCTTTGATGTATTCTTTCTCCAGGACTTTGGGAGGTACAAGGACAATTTTTGCTCCAGATCTAGGAAAAGCGGTTGATTGTCTGGTAAAACGGAAAGAAAATGATGAACCAATATGGTTTAGACAAACAGAACTGTCACTCCCTTCATCCTTGATTTTTGTCTAGCTCAGCATTTAGTCAAATCGTTCAAACAAACAAAAAAGGCTCAGTTAGCAGTTTCACATACACAAACAAACAGAAGGAAACCACATACCCTTTACAACACTCAGACCAAAGAGATGAAGATCTGAGACGAGTAGCTCAGACACCTGGTTGAACACATCTTGAACTCTGTCCTTAAGCTGTAATACAGACATGCTAAAAAATAAGACATACTACATATAGGCTAGCATAAATAAACCAGAAAGACAGCTTAGGCTGTTTTTTAAGCAGGCCTGTAACTTGAATAACTGAAATCTGAATTAATGTTCATTACAAAGACAACATGTGCAGTTTTATGGAAAAAGCTAAACAAGATCCAACATCAATGACACATGCAAAAAATGTAACTCTAACAAACACAAAAGAGGCTGCAACTCTTAAATCGGCACTCCATGTCAGATATTCATCTCAATATCTCTGTGATAAAGTATAAAAACATTTTCACACACTCACCCCAACAGTCATGTTTAGTTTCGTGTTATTTGGCAGAATAACACTCAGACCTCTGCTTTGGTTCTTCATTGTGGATGTGCTCCCTACGAGGTCCTTTAGTGGTCTCTAAATTATTGTTGTCGTGGGCAGGTCTCGTCTATCTCTCCTTAATGCCCTCCCTTTTATATAAAGAAGTCTAATGTTACATGTTTATTCATTGCTGGAAAAAAATAAGCTTAAACTAGCTTGCAAGTCTTAGCTGGTCTCCTAGCCTGGCTGGTTTTAGAGGGTTTTTATGAGTTTCCGTCAGTCTGGGAGACTAGCCAACGAGACCACTAAATCCAGCATATCAGTTCATGCTGGTTTACACCTTTTTTACGCAGCTTGAGAAAGGAGCGAGACTATGGGGATAATAATGATAATAATTGAAGTATGAGAATATGAGGACTATAGATGGTATTCTTGTATGGATCTTGGGGTTTTGGACTAAGAATAGGACAATAAATCCCAAAGTATATTTTGGCCATCCGCGTTCAACGTTGGTCGATCCGCATGATGTAATTTTCGTTATCAGGAGGGTCCGCGTGCAGGCCATTTTTTTGTGTACGCGAGGACGATGTGCTACTCAGAACAGCGCATGTGACTTCAAACTATCTGACAGACGTTACATTGGGCGCTTGAAAACAAAGTCCACTACAGCCCACACGCGCCGAACGCGTCTTTCTGCACTCGCGGACAAAAGAGTATACTTTGACTCAACTGTGCGCGAGACGGAGTGGAACGCGGGAAATGAAGAATACCCGGGCCTTTAGATGTGAAATTTCTGTCAGATGTTAAGAAAACAATGGCATCTACACCGCACAGTATTGTGTGATCACAACATTTAGTTATGGTGAAGTCTGTGCATTAAATCATCAAACGTAACTTTGCTCAGACATAGAAAACTAAGTTCACTATTTGTTAACATTCATTTATTTCATAGTGCATAACAGTGCATGAAAATGCGTCACAGAAAAATGAGAATGACCTCAATGTTATTGTTCCCCTCCAACATTATGCACTAAAACGGATTCCCAAACATTTTCTTTTTTTCTTTTAAATTCTATTCTAATTTTTTTAATGATTTCTTTTATTATTTTTTTACATTTATATGATTTCATTAGCTTTTTGACAACTCATAAACCCCAGTTTGGGAAACCTTGCACTAAATGACACATCACTCAGAAAACATGCCAAATTACAAAACGGTTGTACAGCATAAAGGCATTCATAAACAGCATTCTGTCTGCAGATTTACAGCGTTTTGTTAAGAATCACCAGAGGTTAACCAAAAGACAACCAAACAGAGTTTGATTTAGTAAACTCACCCATCTCACAAGACAACTGTGGGATAGAAACTAAATTATATACAAAGCTGATTTAAAAATGTTGAGGAAAACAAACACATTATTTGATATCAGAACATTAAATGTGACTGGGACTGGTTTAAAATAACACCTCAAATCTATATTGTTCACAGCACAAATGGGATCTCTTAATAAATTGTTGAGCAATTACCAACAATCCAGTTGGGTTGAGACTGAGAGTAATATGACAACAGCGTTAATGGACAGTGGTGGGGAGGACATATGATAAATGTCTTATTGCTGTCTGGGAGAGATTAATGCATGTGGCTGTTTATAGTCAAAAATACAATCTTCAGTGCATATTGAACACATTCACACACTGTAGAGAAGAGTTAGGAATCACATACTTGATCTATTCTGCCTCCCTTGACTCAAAAACATTGGCTATATTCAGAATAGCACTGTTAGTCCTACTACTACTGTTAGGCCTACTATTGCAGCACTATAGTATGCAGAGGATAGCCAGATGACCTATTGAGCATCATATAGAAGAGCTTATGGCGTGGAGCACTGCATCTCACAATGCAATGCATTTACAATGCCTTTCAAATGAATGGTAAATAATATCAGCTGTGATTTTTAACATTTCTGGATTTATTGGATTAGACTGCCTTTACAAGGATTAAAAATTGAAAATATCTTTTTAATTTATTATGCAATCTGATGGTCAGTTTTAAAATGTGGAATAAATCCAAATGATTAATAGGTAGTATCCAGTATATACTGCACAATATTTAATAAGTAAGCTATTATTCTATTCAGAAGAGCCGTTGTATTGCCATTTTAACCTTAATGTTTGAGGCCATAACGACAGACAGCAACTATTTTGACCAAAAATGCCTTGTGTATAATAAACAATTTGCGTTTTCATTTTAAAATGTAACTAACCTTCACAGCTTTTATTCAGTTATCTCAAAAACATTTTCAATATCGCTTCAAACCCATTATATATTCAGCAGTTTGAGCAGTTCTCACGTGACACATTTTGCTTCTATATTCTATTATTTAGGATTAGGATTTTTACATGTTCCAAACTGAGCATTTAGATTTAATTTAATTAATTTATATGCACTGATGTAAAATTCCACGACTTTTCTAGCCCAGGAACTCACAGCCTTGAAATACCTTGATACTTCCAGATTTTTCCATGACCATGGGAACCCCGGATCTTATTTCAAAGTCTCCCAGTAGCCTACGTAATGCGTGTATGTCTGCCAACTACATTCTTTCACAGTAAAAACAGGTCCATCGCGTAGCAACATCTACAGGCTGACGCACAAAGGAGTTCTTTTCAACGTCTTGTCAAAACAAGCATGCGATCATATTCGGGATAATGCAAAACACATGACAAACGAAGTTGGAAATGATAAATCAGCAGAAAAGGTTTTCGAAACAGCAGCTAATAAACACTGTATTACAATTGTAGTATTGGGACCGTACAGGGTATCCTCAACATTTACCTTTCGATTCATACTACAGCCAACAAAATATTGCACTTTTTGAGTAAGTGGTTATTAAGGCAACATGCCTTTATCTGAATTCTGGTTATTTTGTGCTTTGAGACAGATTTGTGGCATAAATACAGTTTAATTCACATACTACAGACATATTGCACACATGCACACACGCTACAGTAGACTTGCTGCCGAGGATCTGAACTCAAAAATAAAATATACCAGTAACTGAGGGGGGAATAAAAATTCTTGGCAGCAATAGAACCTCCTCCAAATATTACAAATTAGATCTTGTGAAGGTCAGCCAAGCAGAAGCATTCAAGCTCTGTTTCCAGTAACGTTCCCCGCCTAGTTGATGGCCTCAAGATCCTCCAGGCCTGCTAAAACCATTACATGGTTCTATTGTTTGTTGTATTACACAATATTATAGCTGTAACTAACTATCCTTCATTGACATCCAATCGCGAGTAAACATGAACTAACCGACACGATTTCATGGCTCACATTTCTCAACTATTTAGAAGTTTGCTGCACGATTTGCAGAACGAGTCACTATTTCCTTTTCACGTGGCTGCTATAAACAGATAATATACATAGACCTTCTGTTCTCTGCCACAAGATAATGTACAGAGAATGTCAATTTCTTTACATGCTCTGACAGAACAAGTAGTTAAAAAGAAAAATTAAATGCCCTTTTTTTTTAAAGATTTCCATACACTAGCCGTCATCCCGATGATGAAAGTTTGCTAAAACTAAAGGTGACATTCATGTACTTATCTAAGTTAAAAACTAAAGCCAAACTGTCTGAGTCCATATTAAAGGGTTAGTTCACCCAAAAATGCAAATTCTGTCAGTAATTACTCACCCTCATGTTGTCCCAACCCTGTAAGACTTTCGTTCATCTTCGGAACACAAATTAAGATATTTTTGATGAAATCTGAGAGCTGGCTCACTCCTCCATAGGCTTCTATTGTAATTGAAATTTGCCGGCCCAAGAGTTAGTAAAGACATCGTTAACAGTGTCCAAGTGACTACAGTGGCTCAACCTTAAGTTTATCAAGCGACGAGAATACTTTGTGCGCAAAAAAATAAAAATAACGACTTTTTTTAACTAATAATTTTCTTCTGTTTGGGCCTCTGAGTGAGTTCACCTCGTGTAACAGCGCAGCCCAGACGTACAACCCAGAAGTGCTGCGCTGTTACACGAGGTGAACTCACTCAGAGGCCCACACAGAAGAAAATTATTAGTTAAAAAAAGTTGTTATTTTTATTTTTTTTGCGCACAAAGTATTCTCGTCGCTTGATAAACTTAAGGTTGAGCCACTGTAGTCACTTGGACACTGTTAACGATGTCTTTACTAACTCTTGGGCCGGCAAGTTTCAATTACAATAGAAGCCTATGGAGGAGTGAGCCAGCTCTCAGATTTCATCAAAAATATCTTAATTTGTGTTCCGAAGATGAACGAAAGTCTTACAGGGTTGGGACAACATGAGGGTGAGTAAATACTGACAGAATTTACATTTTTGGGTGAACTAACCCTCTAACATTCAGAGCTATAAAGACCCCTGATTTAGCTCTAAAACAAGGGCTTTCACTGGCAGAACTGGTACAGTATTGTGTGTGTGTGTGTGTGTGTGTGTGTGTGTGTGTGTGTGTGTGTGTGTGTGGAAGCTTCTAGTAAACGAGAGGGCTGACAGAACTACTAGTGTATTGAAGACTGCATAAGTGGTTTATAGTGAAGGGAAGACTAACTTATAAGTCTAGTATGAGGCGTTTGGTGAAGGCACTTCCAGGTAAAGCTTTCCTTAGAGTAGCACCTTTGACAGTCATGATTAGCCAGTAAAAAGCCCTTGAGTGGGGTGGAGAGCAGCACAGCTGCGTTGATGTCACAGCAGACTGAAACCCAGAATGTACTGCAGGAGTTTGTTCCTGTTGGCCTGAGGTAAGAAAGAACTGCTCAGCTGCAGACTGCACACACCACCTTCTCGTCTTTCTTTAAGCACCTGTGAATCACAAATAGCATGATTATTTCACTACTTCACTACTTGCACAGGAAGTACTTCAGACGGGGGTTTGTGGGGTATAGGACAGGAAAAGAATAGCAAGTGCACATTCAATTTATTTTCTTGTTTTAAATCATTTAGACCATTGGTTCTCTTTCATTCTCTTTCTTTGTCTTTTTCTTTCTGTCTTTCATTCTCGCATTTCTGTCTTTTAGAGATACACCAATGTTATTTTTATGTTGATAACTGATAAATGGCTTATCTTAAAATTGT